GAGAGGTTGAGTAAGCTTCCATAAGAAGACCCAAGCTGAGAAAACTAGACTGTACTGTCCAAATCCTCTCTCTGTTCCATGGAGCCACCTAGTGGGCCCCGAGTCCTGCCCCAACCTCTGCCTCCCCACGAGACCCTGATCAAGTCATTTAGTGTCTGTACTTCAATCTCCTGAATTGAAGATTCTGTTAAGTCAGTGGTTGAAGCAGGTGATTTGCATGATATCCTGCATCTCTAAAATCTCGTGAGTCCTTTTCCTGACTTGAATCACCAGGTCCCAGTTGAGAACCAGTGCAGTGCTCGTCTCTTTGAAGGGACTCAATCATGCTTGCTGAGGAAAGGAGTGAGTAAATGAACTCTGTTCCCTTCTGGGAAGATGTTTTCCCTCTTACTACAGCCTTTAATACTCCTTTTCTTTAAGTCTTGCAATTAAGTTGGATATCCTTAATGAAGAACTAAAATTTATTAAAAGCATTCTATGTGCAAACCACCAGTATTGCACAGTAGGGTGTACAAAGATGAATAAAATAGTCTCCCAGCTAATATAGTGCTAATACCTTAACAGGAAGGATCAGTCACTTATCCAATTAAGGATAAAAGTGTATATTTTATAGAGGTAAATTTTTTACAGGACTGAGATGAGAGGGAGCCTGTGTCTGTGAAAAACTTACAAGACTACAAAGGAGGAGTACCATTTGAATAGATATTGAAGGATATTTAGTGTTGCAACAGTCAGCTATCAATCTGATATCTACAGAATTGGAGAACACGTTATATAGAATAAATACTGTAAATTTATAGATAATTCAAAAATTCTTTCATATTTATTACTTCAGCATATCACATAGTTCTTTGTACCAAATTATGTTAATTGGGCTAGTATCAAATAAAATTATGTTCAGAGAAAACAAATTAAGTAAAGTTTGAGACCAATACTGGAAAGCAAATACATAATGAGGTCTAGCCCTGGGAAAAGAAAATGTGGCTAAGAGAGAGGTAAACTTCACCTACCAGGAGAAGCATATGTTTCTTTTCAAATGCCAGCGCCCACTAGTAGACAGTAGCTGCCTAGGACAACGGTTCTCACAGTGTGGTTCCTAGACCAAAAGCATTGGCATCACCTGGGAATTTGTTAGAAATGCAAATTTTTGGATCCCACCCTAGACCTGCTGAATCAGAAACCCTGGATGGGGACAATGTGTATTTTCATATGCCCTCCAGGTTGTTGTGATGCTCACTCAAGTTTGAGAACTACTGCTCCAAAAAACTGTGTTGGATAAAATTCTGAGATTGTGTTGGGTTCCACAGAACATACAGCTATATTGATAAGTAAGGTCAGTCCAGGCAAAGGAGGCAGGTGTGGGAGCACATGAGCCAAGAGTTATGATCCCTGCCTACATCAACAGTGGACATTTGAGTGCTTCCGGAGTGGGCTCCGGAACATACCCTGGTCACTAACTTAATATTTGTGAAAATTAAGCAGAAATTAATATAGTCACAGTATAGGGAGGCATGCCACACCCCCAAGTATAGAAAAAGAACTGGCTGGGAGGGGGCTATTTGCTTAATAAATAATGATTAATGTTTCCAATAAATATAAGAAGACAGACAAGAACAGTTACCACTGGTTATAAATGACATAGGTGCTGGAACAGCACAGTTTATAACCTAGACTCCTTATTAGGTATTTATACTTCGATAACATTAGGTTTACACAAGATAAAGCCAAACTGTCATGTGATGTTTTAATTGTGATGAAACTATGCAGATAGACGTGACAATGGCTGGGATTAGAGCACAGACTACAGTCTCTCCTTTGGCCCTAAAACAGCGAGACACAGAGCAAACACACATAAACCCCATTGTTTCAGTCATTTTCTACTATATATGCTTCTTCATCATCTGCTAAGTTTACTGACCATCTACTAGGAATCTGCTGTAAGTGTATCAGGATGACATATCAAGGGTGGTGTCACCAGATAACTCACATCAATAGGAGAAAGAAGCAGAAAAGATGGGAAAACTGGAAAAGGGGCAGCTGGCCCGTAGAAGAGGTCCAGGGCCTGTGCACATCTCCAAAGTTACATACTATTGGAGGTTTCCAAAAACTTAAAACAGAGCACGTTTCTTAAAGGTTTAGAACACTTTCTTCCTAGTAAAGTTAAATACCTTCTCCACAGAACAGACTTCTAATCTCTAGATAAGTTTTCAAAAAACAAGCTTGATGGTGATCATTATTTGACAGAAGCACCCATGGACACCAGGCAGGTTCAGAGAAAGAGTCAGGATATTCGTAGGAGGAAACTTTACACTAGTTTATGATCATGTCCCTTAGATGTTATTTCAGGTGTGAAATGCTATCTGCCCCGAATCATTAAAAGCCATAAGAAATACATCTATTAAAATGCATACGTTTATAACAATAGCACACAAAGACAGAACAAAAGAAGTTTCACAATTGATAGATAAGAAATTATGATTTTGAAAGAAAATACTATTTACCAATAGGTAGAAAAGGAGATTTTTTTCACTACTTTGAAATCCTACAACTGAGAAAATACAAAAAGATACACAGAGAGACAGAGAGAGATACTAATTTGTTTTCTTTAAAAAAGTGGGCATATTTTATATAGCCCTGAAAGATGGAAGTCAGGTGAGATCAGATTGATGGAAGGCTCCATAGCCCAAAACATGAACAGTAGAGAGTCACAGCAAAAAAGGTTTCAGGGGCAGAGGTGGGATGGGAGGATGGGAGGGTGTGTGGCAGGTGAATCAGGAATGCTACAAGCTTGGAGGCAGCAGATACGGGAAGCAGAAAATGGCCTGAGCTGTGGTTGTGGCTGGTTGGCACAGCATATGCAGAGCATCTGGGTGGGCCAGAACTGTCCTCTCCCCCTTGTGTCAAGCAATGACCAGCAAGGGCACTTGACTGCAAGCAGGAACAGTGAGCATGAGCAGTAATCCAGAGAGGAAGGCTTTAGGTGGCAGGTGATAACCAGGAGCTGGTGATGACTAGGAGGAATGGGAAGGAGCCAGCCTGAACTACAGGCTCACCCGGTCCAGCTGCTCGTCCCAACCCTCTTCACTCTCAGAGAAGGCAAGATGCAATAAGCAAAAATAGCATCCAGATACGGTGGAACAGGGTCACACAAATAAAAAGATGAGCAGCAAACACAACAAACTGATATCCAAAGGATCAAGCATGCAACGGATTTTAAATGTATACCTAATACTCTCAAAAACAGGACGGCATCATCTCATTCATGAAACAATAATAGGCAGTTATAAAAATGAAAGCAATGACAAGTCAATAGGTGAACGCAATGGCCCAATGGTAAGCTGAAAGAAAATGACTAAGCTGGAAGACCAAGCTGAGAATTCTTCTGAAAAGGAAAAAGTCATGGGAAGAATGAGAAAGAAAAGCTAAGAGAGACAGCAGACAGATAAAAGAGTCTAGGAGGCCCACCCTTCGTTTCACAGGTGTTTCAAAACAGAGTAGAGGCAGCAGCAGGAGAAATTGGCAGCAGCAGGAGAAATTGGCCAAGACCTGAAGAAAGACACAAAATTCTTTAGAATAAAATGGTCCTGCCTACTAAACAAAATAAATGAAAAAAGACCACAAAGGAAAAACAGATATGTTTGCCTATAATGAAAAGTAAAACCTCTGAAGGACAAAAGAGGCCATAAAAATGAGGGATAAGCAACCGACTAGGAGAAAAGTATTTGCAACATATAATGAGCAAATGTTAATGCTGAAAATTATAAAGAATTACAAAAATTTAGAAGAAAAAACTCAATTGAAAACTGGGCAAAGGATACAGAGAGAAATTCACAGAAGAGTACATACAAATGGCCACGTTCATCATGATCGTAATCCAGGGAGCACAGTCGACACCCGACCCACGAGACTGTTGAAAACTCAGAAGAGTGATGGAAGTAAATATTCAACAGTGACAAGATGGGGAACACGTAAACACAGTGTAGGAGAGAGCAGACTTTGTCCATTTTGGAGAGCAATTTGCCAGCATCTTTCAAATTTAAAACCGTGCATCTCCTGGAGCCTATACTTGCATTTCTGAGTTCTGTCCCAGCTGCTAAAAACAATTAACTTTTATTAAGTGCTAGAAACCAGAGGTAGTTTTTAAGCCCTTTATATAAGTTACTATATATCCTTCCAAGAGCCTATAAGGTAGGTTAATATTACTATCCTCGTTTTACAGATAAGGAATCTAAGGCACAGAGGGTCAAGGAGCATTTCTTAAATCAAACACCAATAAATGGAGAAGCCGCGATTTGAGCTCAGGCAGTCTGGCTCCACTGTCTGCTCTTAAAGACACGCTATTTTTTTCTAAGATACATCCTTATCTATATACAAAGGCATACACAGGATGTTCATTGTGGCATCATTTATATTGCTGAGAAAGGAGGAGGAAAACAGCTATCATTAGGAGAGAAACAGATAAATAACACTTCATACTATGGAATATTGTATGGTATTTAAAAGAAAGATATATTTACATGGAAAAGCATGGTCAATCTTGAACACATATTGTGAAGTTAAAAAAGCTTATTGCTGAATAATACGGACATTACAATATCATTTTAGTTTAAATATATATATGTATGTGTATACGTGTGTGTGTGAATACACAGAAACAGGTGGAAAAGGTGAACAAATCAATCACATACAGGGAACAGATGTTATCCCGAGGGAGGGGAGCCCAGTGGGATTTCAGGGCAGGAAGGAGCGCGGTTCAAAGGGCATTTCCATCTATGTGTATTACGTGATGAGGATGCTGATGATTATTATTAATTTAATAATAGAAAAAGACAGTAAGATTCAGCATGTCTAAATAATCTGCTGCAAATGCCTTGATACCTGGAGAGGCTTAGATTTGAGCTCCATAAACCATGCTGAGATAGAAAAGACTAACAACGTGGATACAAGGGGAGAGAGAAAGGTTTGCAGACTACAAACAGCTTATCAGAGCCAGGCCTTACCACAGCGATCTCGGATGACCAGGTTCCGGCCTTCCTTCAGGTGTATGGTGAGGAGGTAGGCAAAAGGGCTGGGCAGGTTACTCAAGCCATCGCCAGCTTCCCCGAGGGTCTGCACAGACGGAGAAGTAAGTCAGTTGTCTTGGGCCCAAGGAACTGAGCTTCAGAAACACTTCTTAATTTAAGGAAAAACAAATGCTCACTACAATGGCAAATCTTCAGTGTCATCTCCCACTCCCACTCCCTCTGATGACTTGGTTACACTGCTCTGTTAACATGTTCTCTCTACTTCTCCCCAGTGGGATTCTATCAGCATTCAGCGGCCATCATGATGATATCTTTGCAATATTAACTTTTCAAGAAGAATAGATAAGTGGTATAAATATAACTCTTTCATTTCCTGCAGGATTCTTTATGCTGTAACTCACGGTGGAGCACGGAGAGAGGAAATAGCGTGCAGAAGTGCAGCTGTGGGGTTAGCTCCCACGACACGTGTCTACATTTCCAAACTCAGATATAATGTCTCCCTTATCTCTTCTCACCTTCCCACCAACCTCTATCAACTCGGGTACACCTCCTCTGCCTGGAAGAAAAAAATTTCAGCTCACAACCACTCAGCTGCTCACCCACTGAGCCTGCATGTCCATCCCACACACGGCCCTCCCCTGTGTCCATAGGTGCCTCACTTTGTCTCTATGCAGCGTTCTCCCACCTTCTGCATATTTTTATTTCATTTTCTGGCTCCCCCTATTGGTGTCCCCTACTCTTACCCTCACAGTCTCACCTCCCCCTAATGCAGTTCACTTCCCTCTCCAGGAATGCATCAACTCCTATGGGCATGCCGCCAAACTTGTCTATTTTTGAATATTTATTAAATGAATCCAACTGAAGTTTTGAACTACAGTTTTGCACCAGTTCAAATTTTTGTCTTTCCAAAGAGAAAGGACAGATAAAATAATTTATCGTTCACTTATTTGACATTCACTTAATCGAGCCCGTGGCTAAGTCACCCTCCACAGCCTTCTTTTGAAAGTTTCCCTGTCCACGTTTCAAAGCACTTCAAAATGACTTTGTCTCCTGTATTATCTCACTCAATTTCATAGCTGCTCTGTATTTTTAGAAGAATCTATCCCACTCTGACAAATCAACAGACACTGAATTCCTCTTGTCCAGCTATAATTCACAAGGCCTGTCTTTGTTGGTGGATACGGTTCAGCATTCTTTAGAAATGAAAGAGGCAAAGAAACACAGATCCAAACATCTGATAAGAAATATTACAATATTTACTTTAGTGTTTGTTTTTAAGAACTGTCACTCACAGATTGCTCTTCAAACTGTTGGGATGTCAGAGAAGCATTTAGATCCACACTTCCACAGAGCTTCTGTAAATAAAAAGAAAAAAACTCTGCTTTAAAAAAGCAAAAGAAAACCAACTTGCAAGGATATCCTTTATCAGGTCTTTCCCTTTGAATCTGTCATCTGCATACTTAGTTTCAAACGTGCAGGCTGCCTTTCTGTGTGCGTGGCAAGTCTTAGCAATACAAGGAGTCTATCTGGCTGCGGCCTCTGCCTTCTCAGTCATTGATCAGAGCATGGAAAAGGCCCATTTGGCTCTCCTGTTGGGCCGCTCCTGCATCCCTAGTTCATCCAGGGTTTAACATGAGAGCAGCTTTGTTCCTGGTGAAGGAAGCGGGAGCATCAGGGCCTTCCCGTGAGGTCCCTCCCAGGGTGGGTCTGCCTGGCCCCCAGCCTTCAAGGGCAAACGGCAGCTCAGGAACCAGAGAGGCAGGCGAGCTTGTCAGGCAGGGAGGAAACATGTCAAAATGTGTGCTGAAAGACGTTCCTCAAGCCAGCCCTCCACGAGTCTAGCAACTGTACACGTACCAACCAAAAACCAGGAAATGCAAATTCTGAACAAATGACCTCAGAATGGGAAGCGTCTATGTTTCCTCATTTACATATGCCTCAGATACCCAGGAAGTGATTCCACAGGGCAATGGAGTATGCATCATACAGCAGTCAGTGTGGGAGACAGTAGACATCTTCATTGTGGCAGGTTTTATTTGCAAAAATGAGGAATCTGGAGGAGCTCTGGGACTTTATGAAGGTCTCTGGGCTAGATGTGAGGATGGCTGCCTGCATGGAAAGGCAGAGATGGAAGGGAAATGAGCAAACGGCCTCCAGCATTTTGGATATGTTCCTATCTGCTTGACATATTAGCCATGGCTGATTTCTTGTGTAAAAAACAATGGATTTCTCCCTCCAAAGAAGGCTGGCTAACTCCAAAGTTATGGGCAAATTTAGAGGTAGGCAACAGCCTGCAGAGATTGCTTAGATGACCATGAACCATTGGGGGTGGAGGTGGGAAGCAGAAGCACTGTGGTCATTGGTCCTTCTCATCCACAGCAACCATCAGGGAAGTCTTGGCACACTTCAGAGATCCTGCCTGGATGGTGGCCTGCCTTCCAAGACACTCACTCTCTCTCTCTCTCTCTCTCTCTCTCTCTCTCTCTCTCAAGTGGAACTTGAGGCAGTAACAGAACCCAGGTTCCAGAGCAGGAAGGCAATTCTTCAGACCTCAAGATGGATGGTGACGGGCGGCAAACAAACAGGGGCGCTCTGGTCCACCTCCTCTGCCTGCAGTGACATCAAGAAATGCTGCAACTGGGCAGAAGTGAGCCCTGATCACAAGACAGCTTGGAGCCACACAAGCCCTCACCATCAGGAACAGAGGCCCTCCTGTTCTTCGCATCTGTGGTTCTCACATCTGCCTCTTTCTCCACCACACCAGGTCTAAGGTCCCCTGACTGTGAATATTCCTTCACTTGAGATTGATTCACACAGGATCAAGAGTGATTTCAGATACTTGAACCTTTCTCTAAGAGTCCCAGGACCTCAGTCACTAGAGCCCATTGGCCCTGGAAGTGCCACCACTGCCCAGCCAGGACAAGAGTCCTCTCCATGCTTTACCTGTTAGCACACAAGGCAAGAGGCAGCAGCAGGGCCTTTCCTAAACACGCCCACTCTGGTTCTTGGTGCCTCCTCTTTTGTTAAAAATAGAAAGACATCCAGGTGAGTTGGACGGGACCGTCTAAAGAGTACTTTATGACAACAATCAGAACCTTATTCAACTCTCCCAATTTCAAAAGATTTCTCTTCATGCCTTTTACACTGCACACTATTATTTCCTAGAAGCTTACCAATTCCTCTTCTGCCTGATTTATAAAACCAAAAAAGTCCAACCATGCCTTCACATGCAGAGCCAGCAGGTAACATCTGCTGTCTGATCCTCTGCAGCCTGAACATCCCACCGTAGTGCCTCCAGTTTCATGAAATGAATCAATGCTCCACTTAACCAATTCTGTTTGAAGGCAATTCCACAAAACTACCTGTGCTGGGATCAGAATTTCTCTGTAAAGTGCACAGTTACTAGCCAAGGATCATGGTGGTCAAGTATCTTCCTCTGTCAAATAAAAGAGTGGACAGATGGGTGCTTAGAAAGCACCACCCCTCAGACTGGCACACCATACACATTCTCCCGAGTTGGCCTCACTGGACTTAAGGATAATGTTAATTAAGTGACAAAATTAGTCCACATAACCACCATCAATTACACGCTATCAAAAATGAACACAGAGCTTTTATTCAAATATGCAATGTCTTCCACTTACAACAACATGGAAATTAAATGTGAAGGATGACATTATTCAATATTATGGCTGGTTTTACTCACAGAAAAGTCACAGAACTTAAAGTTACGGTTCCCACAGCCACCGTAACTGTCACACACCATATATACACACCAAGGAAGGAAAGTGATCACCATAAAGAAGAGGAGAAACGCTACACGGGCACAGGAGGACCGAGTTACAGCCGCAGGGGGACACATAACTTTGAGTATTTCCCTACACTCTGCATAGAGCTGAAGGTACTAGCCACTGATAAAAGTTGCGTTATTTTCACCTTCTTCGTAAACCTAGTAACTACATCAATGAGTTTTTCATTAAAAAGAGCACAATTAATGTTTTCATCATCAGGAAGTGCTGGTATCCCGCAACCATTAGAAAAATTTTTTTGATGTTCTCTACAAGCATAATCAAGCACTCTGAGTTTTTTAATTTTACTTAAAAAAAATAACACACAGTCAAACTGACTTTCTGCATGTGCTTTCAGTGCTATGATTTTTAACACATGTATATATTTGTGTAACCACCACCACAATCAGGACACAGAACAGTTCTATCACCTCACCCCAAAAACTCCTTCATGCTGTCCCACTGTGGTCAAATCATCCCCCACCCTTGGCAACCACTGATCTGTTTTCATCATACAGTTTCATCTTTTCCAGAATATCATATAAATGGAATCATACGCTATGAAATCTTTTGATACTGGCATCTTTCACTCAGCCCAATGCCTTTGAAATTTATCCAAGATGTTGTCTGTATCAAGAGTTCATTCCTTTTTATCGCTGAATAGTATTCCATTGTGTAGATGTCCAGTCTGTTTATCCATTAAGCATTGGTTTTAACTATTTCAAACCAATTATCTCCAAGAACATACTCAGGAAAGGGCAAATAATTTTGAATATTAACAATGATTAAAAGTCTTAATATGAGAAAGCCATCTAATTACATACAAACATTCAGAAATACAGCATTAACATCTGGGCATGAAAATTAGTATGAGGTTAGTCATCTCTCACACAATTCTCACTGCTACCTTTCAGATAAGTGGTTTGTGTGTGTGTGTGTGTGTGTGTGTGTGTGTCTTTTAATGACAGCAAATTTGCACTGATATTTCCATACTACCTTGGTAAACCAAAGTTTATAGGAAGGTAATATACTTTGCATTCACTTTAGATGAGAATCTCCATCTGCAAGAATGCAAATTTATTAAATTTCAATAGGATATGGGAAGATATTAGGATAGATGAGATGATTATTTAAAAAAGAAAATCTCTAGTTACCAAGGATCTTAAGAGCAAGATACTGACGTAAATAAACAACATTTTCCTTTTGTGTACACTAAATGTGATCTTATACAAATACCACCTCCATGGTTGTCTGAAGGATCTCACCATGAAGTACACACAGGAAGCCAAATTATAAACAATCTAAGCAATCACTGGCTGTTTAAACTTCAGTGGAAGGATACATAAACCCACACCAAGGAGAGCTAAGTAAGAGTAAAAAGTTGGCTGAGAAGATCACTAATATAGTCTTTGAAAAATACTCTATTAAAATATATGAGTATAGGGGCCGGCCCAGTGGCATAGAGCTTAAGTTTGGTGCTCTGCTTCAGCGGCCCAGGGTTCGCGGGTTCAGATGCCAGGCACAGACATACGTATCACTCATCAAGCCATGCTGCGGCAGCATCCCACATATAAAACAGAGGAAAAGTGGCAAGGATGTTAGCTCAGCGACAATCTTCCTCGAGCAAAAAGAGGAAGATTAGCAACAGATGTTAGCTCAGGGCCAATCTTCCTCACACACACACAAAAAAAAAATATATATATATATATATATATATGTATATAGCAAATGATACACATAATACATATGTGCTTAATTACTTAGCCCACATCTAGGTTATTGAGAATATGAAGACTTTGGACAACAGTAGTCACAAACACAAATACCTACAGGGCAAGGAAGTAGCAAAATGAGCAAAGGGGATCACATGGCTAGACAGACCATGAAGCCATGCCTGGATGCAGTGATAGAATCAAAACCCACATGGCAATTAGAGGTCAAAATTGGAATGTCTGTTCAGAAAAACTCAGGTCGACCAGATGGCTGAGTCTACTCATATTCAGTCTTTACACAACTTTTTGGAAGGTTATTGATCATACAATCAAGATATACATATTTAGTTTTCCCCCACCCCTAAGAATGTTCTCTAAAAGTGATTACCCTGGAATACTATCTAATATACAAAATATAAGTCATGTGTATGTATGTTCATGTGCATGTATACATATACCCTACTCAATCACATGATGGTGTAAAACAGTGGTCAGCAAATTACAGCCCACCACTTATTTTTATAAAGTTTAAACTTTGAAATACAGCCCCACCTACTCATTTATATACTGTCTATGGCTGATCTCATGCTACAATACCAGGGTTGAGTAGTTGGAAGAGAGACCTTATGCTCCACAAAGCTGAACATATTTATTACCTGGTCCTTTACAGAAAAAGTTTGTCAACCCCTGATATAATTCTCTAAAACCTTTCTTTCCATATTCAGTGATATTTGTCCACTGATCTTCCATAAATGTTTTTTCATGCTTATTACCAGTAGATAGTTTAAAAGAATAATGGTCCCCTTTACGTTTGCTTAGCCTTTATAATTTTTTTGTTTTGTTTTGTTTTTGTGA